GGAGTCAGGTTAGCTTGTAAGGCAAGTCAAATGTATTTGTATAGCACAATTCAGTACAAAGACAATGCAAAGTGCTTTACATGATTAAAATACAGGAAGATAAAACAGAATTAAAGCAAGTAAGAAAAAAAATAAATAAATAAAATAAAATAAAAAATGTAGAAACAAAAAAGAATAGATGTTTGAAGACCAGACATAGATTCTTCTCATAACAAACCAGATTCTTTCTCAGGTTTATTCATAACATGTTACAGTTTAACCAAAGTGTCTGTAATTTGTTTTAACTCTGAGTAATTTCCATTATTGTCAGTAAGGAGGAACGAACGCTGCAGGCAGAACAGGGTTGATTACCGAGCAATAATGATGAACTGTTCTCTCTTTGCAAAGATAAGAATAAAGATCCGACTGAGTGAAATCCATCGAGCTTCGATTATTTAACTGGGATGAATGGTTCAACAGTTCTTTTTCCCACGATATTTTCCACACCTGCAGGCTGAAAAAAAAGTTTATTTTCTGAATTCAACTAAAAAACCAGAATTATTTCCTCAGTCAGATAAATGTTCTGGGAGTGAATTAAACCTGTTTGATCTCCTCTGTCTGCAGTGGCCCAGCTCACCTCATCCTGGACGGGCCCCCTCCTCTCCAGGACCATGGCCACTCTCAACCAGATGCACCGCCAGGGGAAGCCCAAGCCCCCCCCTAAATCCCTGGGCGCCACCTTCGGCCGCCCGCAGCTCAAGGCGGTCATCCTGAAGACGATGATCCGAAAGCCCAAGAAGCCCAACTCGGCCAACAGGAAGTGCGCTCGGGTGCGGCTCTCCAATGGGAAGGAGGCGGTGGTGTTCATCCCTGGGGAGGGACACAACCTGCAGGAGCACAACGTGGTTCTGGTGCAGGGGGGGAGGACCCAGGACCTGCCTGGAGTCAAACTGACTGTGGTTCGAGGCAAATATGACTGCGCTCATGTGGTGAAGAAGAAGCAGTAGCCCAGGGGGGCCATTTTATTGAGTGTTTGATGTAAAATATAATTATAAATAAAGAAAATTAAGATCATCTTTATTTTACTGGAGGATATTTAACATTAGAGCATCAATAAAATCTGCTGCTTTCTAAACCCGGAGTGTTTAGAGGAGATTAGAGGAGAGCTGCTGTCAGCTGGATAGATTCTAAGAATAGATTGGTTGGAAAAACAACCAATCTAGTTGCTTAAAACTATTTTGGTGAGAATAAACAATTTAATGATCAAAATCTGAGGAAACCACCGGACACAGTGTCTTTTTCTCCATTCCACAGTGATCCATATAAGTGCCGTCATCTGTAAGACACGGGCTGTCACTCTAGAGTTTGATGGTTCAAGAACTGCTTTTAACTTTTGAAAAGTTGCGATTAAACTTAATTATTTTGGGCTGATGAGACTAATTTGAAATGGTTTGCTCTGGTAAAAATATAGATCGGGTAAAATCGCTGCCAAAGTAGGTCGGTTTAGCCAAAAGATTGGTTGAACAAAACTTCCAACTTGATTAAAACCAAAAAAAGGGAGAAAACTATTATGTTTGAATGAAAACGAATAACACCTTTAATTTTGCTCATCATTGCCCAATTTGCACACTTTCACTGTCTGCTTGAGTTTATTTCACTAAAATGGCAGAAAAACTGTAACCTGACTCCGCCAGATGGATTTGCTCCGCATATCCATCTGGAAACCTTCCGTTGAAGTAATTTTGGGAAGGGGCGAAAATACTGGTTAGCTGATTGGCCTATGTTGGTGATAGACGGGCCAAATAAACCAATCAGATCAACGAAGCATATGACGTACTAACAGAGCGACGACGAAGAGGAGCCAATTGATAGATCAAACTCTTGCTGAAACCAGTCGGGAGAAGAGCAAAAACATCTTTTCCTCTGAGAAAAGCCTCCAGAGCAGTGTTTTGCTCTTCTTTCAGTGAAGAAATACTCTGTAATTCCCATAAAACTTGCTCGATAGCCACGCTAACGCTAGTTTCATCGGCTGAAGCCGCCATGTTCTTTAGACTGAACTGTCGCGCTCAGTTACCAGACTGATTACCGAGTGATACCTAGAAAGCTCGCGAGATCAGGATGGTCTCACAAGGCTAGAAAAACTGTGAACATTAAATGATTGTTCTTATAAATTTTAAACTTTACAAAATAAATTACAAAACTTAAAAGGGGGTGGTGGGGGGAGCATTTGCAAAAAATAATTTACTGTAGTTCTGCTTTCCACCAGTAGGTGGTGACATGTTCACATGGAGCCTCATGAACTGTGGGGGTCGCTGAATGAATTTGGCCAAATGGTTCAATGCCTCATGAGGCTTCATCTCAGCATCACTAATAATGATGACACATGAATTGTGAATTGGAGTTATTTACTCTGCAGATTAACTGAAAACCAGATGTTATTAAAAAACACCTGTATGCCTTCAGTTACACACAAACACTCCGCCATGTTTATTTTAACACCAATCACTTAAAGTTTTCATCTTTCCTGCTGCAGAAAGAATTCTTAGTAGTCCTTTTGAGGGGTAAAATTTATTTAAAAATTTAAAGTGAGTTTCTTTAGCTTTTGGTTTTATGGAGAGTTTTAGATAAAGAATTCTATTCAGTTTATTTCTATAGCTCCAATTCACATCATGTCATCTCAGGTCACTTTCCAGTTCACCAGATCATCCAGTCAGATTGATTCAAAGTTTTCTATCTAAGGAAAACCAGCTGATTGCATCGACTCATTGACTCTTCAGCAATCCCTCACACTAAGCATGCTTGTAGCGACAGTGGAGAGGAAAAACTCCCTTTGAACAGGAAGAAACCTCCAGCAGAACCAGGCTCAGTGTGAGCGGCCATCTGCTGAGGCCCACTGGGGTTCAAGGAGACAGAAGCAGACATAGAAAAAGAAGCATAGATGCAAAAGGCAACTGTCAACCAGCTCCACAGGCTGATAACTAAAAGATCTACAGGGGCACTGGTCCCCGTTGGCCGCTGTCTAGAACCGGCCATGGTGAGGAATGATGACATCATGGTGAGGTGCACTGTAAGTCCCATGAAAAACAGAAAGCACAACTGATGTTCAAGGATAGAAGATTGAAAGTATTTAAAATGAAAGACGAATTCTGTGTTTAAGAAATTACTGTTAGTTAATAAACAGTTGATGAGAAGTTGCTGACCTTAAGTGTGTATGTATGGGGCACGGTGCGGTTCTTTTTTCCCCGCGGTGTGTGTTTTTTTTTTGGGGTGGGGGGGTGATAAGCATCTCCCTGAAATTAGTTTTTGGAACTTGGGATGTCTGGGAACATACGAAACAATCAGATCTCTGATATCAGATGGAGCTTGGCCTTTTAAGGAGGATTTTAAATTCTATTCTGGAGTTAGAGCTGCTGCTCTTTGACGGGGTTCATTCTACTGTTTTTGTAGTACCAACCTCCAGCCAGCGGTGGCAGCACTGAGCACATATGGTTTCAGTAACTACTTCCTTTCTTACTGTTTTCTTTTTTTCGTTCTCACTTCTTTCTTCTCTGCTATCGTTAATGGAAAATATCCAAGCTGAACCCGGGAAATCTCCAAACACTTTTTAATCTAACAGATTATATCCTTTAATGAAACCGACTGGAGCTGCGGCGGTGGAAACCAGCGGAACTGCTTCTGTTAGCTTTAGCTAGCTGCTCGGTCCGGTTCCGACTTGATTTTAGAAGCTAAATACAGACAGTTGTAGATCTTTTAAGCGTAGAATCGGTCTGTTTTCTATCATTGTGTATCATGTCTGGTTTTAGCTGAACCTTGATACAAGAGAAATAATGTTTTATTCGTTATTTGGTGGTGTTAAAGAGACATCCGTTACTGCTCTCTGATTGGCTGAAACGATACCGCTCTTTAGTCTCTGATTGGCTGAAATCTGTTGCCAGATGTTTTAAATCATTGTTGATTTGGTGAAATTAAAATCCCAGATGAACAATTGAGAAACCTGAAAATAGTCCAAACCGCAGCCAGAAAGGTAAAATATCAGAAAATAACATTTATCAATATTTAGTCTGAATATTTGCTGTTTATTGTTCAATCAGTGAATTTAAAATCAGCTCCATTTGTTTTTTTCCAGAGGCCTTGATGAGAGAAGATGAATGGAGTGAAGGTGGAAGATCAGGAAGATGGAGAAGAAGGTCAGCAGCTTCCTGAGGAAGGTCAGAGCTGTTTGCCCCGCAGGAAGGTCACCAATTACAGCTTCTATGCTCAGACATCTGTGGTTGCTTCTATAGAGAATAGATCTAGAGAAAAGGACTTTAACCAGAGGGATCATTACGATACTAAGGAAAATGTTCGATACTCGATACTACAAGGATAAAAACAAAGACTCCAAAATTCTACAGAAATATTTTCATTACTAAATAAAATACAAT